AAACCACATCCCCCTGATTTTAGTAACAACTTTTACTGACTTACCCTCTCACTCTACCTGGTTTATGATATGAAAATAGCACCCGGCTCTCACAGAAGGAGAATTAAGAGGCTTTATGACATTTTTAAAACGTCATAGGGAGGGATGTTAAATTGTGCTCCCAGTTCCCCCTTTCATTTGAAAAAGGAAAGCACCAAAGCGGTTTCCAGGAACCAGAGCCCAGCCCCATTACGGAGGAGATAGCATGAGACAATTTAACCCATTTAAAAAGAAAAATTAGGGAAAAGAGACAGAAACAGAGAGGTAGAAAGTGACTTGCTGACAGGGAGATAAAAATTATACCAAGTCACAAGCAGTGAACAAAGGAACAAAGCAGTGGTCTCCTGACAGCCAGTCCACCCTCTCTGCAAATATTATTCATCACGTAAAAGAATTATTCTCATGAATCATTGCCTTGTAAGAAATTTTAGAAAGCTCACAGCAGTGGTGGGGTGATTGACTGGATTTTGAGCTTGCCTGCTCAACCCTGGGGAAGCCCCATGCGACGGAAAGAGAGGGAGTCAGTACCCGAACACCTGAAATGCTCTGCAAGCAGAGAGCACGAGAGGTGGACAGTACACTGGTTCTGGAGCGTTTTTTTGTTATAGTCTAAGAGATTTTCAAGAGTTCCTCTGCAACTGAGAAGCAGAAGTAGTTTGGATTTTCCTATTTTGAAGCTTTCCTGTCTGTAGTCTAATTTAGGATGTAATTAAGGGATTTCTAAAGAGAGCACAGCAAAACGAACCTAAGAACAACTGATCTATGGTGTGTGTAATGCTGGAACAACCCCAGATGATGCCGCAGATAAAACAGGAGCTTTCCATCTGTACAGTTTCACTGCCGTACATATTTATTCCTGGCAGGTAGCTGCCTGGTTTACCAGTGTGGCTCACGTACTGCTGGTGTGAACAGGAGCTGGCAGGGGCATGTAGGGCACATCTTTGTCCATCTGCTTTGGCATATGGGCTAAGAGGAGCTCGGTTCACTCTGCTGTGCAGGGCACGGCTGCCTATACTTGCTGCAGTGGGGCTGGGGGCAAGCAGATAGCTGTTAAATCAGTGCAGCTGCAAAACTGCCCCCTGAGGTGTCCATTTCCTGCATCAGCAGCCTCCTGGGTGGGAAGGATGGCTCCGTGCTGAGCTCAGGGCTGGCTGGGGTGGCGGGAGGGCAGATCGCCTGGCTGAGCGTGTTCTGCAAGAGGCAGATGTTAACCGGAGTTTGCTGAAGGGTGAACTAGAGCTATTGTGGATACCCTGGGAATCTTGGAGTGCATAGCCCCAGCTTGGGAAGGATGCTGGATCCATCCTGCATAGGCATTACACACTACCATTAGCTTTATCAGCCCCAAATTCCTCACTGTAGTATGCAAAGTTGACTTGGCAATAGCCCAGTATATTTTCCACATTCACGTGTAACTACTACACCTTCCCTTTGGATTGTCCACAGCTGCACATAAGATTCCTGTTAAGCATCTTAGGGTATAAGTGCCTTGAGACAGAAATGGTCTTTTGGGTTTGTGTTTATCCAGTATTTGGCTTCCTGCCAGTCTGGCCAAAGGCTAGAGTCCCTTAGCACCTCCACATCACACAGAAGGATTAATCATAACAATCCTCAGCCTCTCGCATGTCTAGGTGATGAATCCTTCCCACACCTCTGTCGGACCAGTGCATACAGGAGACCTGTCAGTAGGGTGTGACTTTACGATGCCCCAGTACAAAAAGTCCGCAGAGGTTTTGGTGTGCACATTAAACATCGGGTATCATGTGCCACTTTTGAAGTGCAGTAAGCTGACTCCTGTGTTGGGCTCAGGCTTTCCACGAGAAGCACTTTGCCAACGCAGAGTGCCTTGTGCTCTGAGCATCTCTGGCCCCTTTGCACAGACGGGGAAACTGAGATGCAGAGTGGGAGAAGACTATAACCAGCAAGCAAGAGAGGGGAAAAAAAAAATCACTGTTCAGACCTTTATGCTCCGTTCAGATTATGCTGGCTGCCCTGCAGCTCCCCATCATGGTGTCCTAAGTCCTGGAAGCCTCCCAAGTATAGTTTTACAAGCTGCCTTGAGCTGAGTGTAATGTAGCCCTTATCTGCTGCTGCAAGTGAGCTGGATGTGTCCTCCTGGAGGTGTCAGGATTTGACTCCCCTGCAGCTGCATTGCCCCAGCTGATGAGACCCCATTGGCAGTGATGGCAGCAGAGGTGTCAATGGCAACTTTGAGGACTCAAGGAAAGAGAGAGAAGGCTTGTTGTTGGAAAGGTCTTACACATGGACTGACTTTCTTGTAGGAGAGAGTCCTTGATGTGGATATTGCAGAGGAGCTGGCTCTGTTTTGTGTTGCTTGAGTCACAAGGGATCAGTGCTTGCAGAAATAAACGTGCCAGTAGTAGCATGAGTGGGTGGGAGAGAAAAAATATTTGGAGTTGGTTCCTTCCACCTCCTGCTCTGGCCCAGCCCTGTCGCCTCCCCCTGTTCCTCCCAGCCACGGCAAAGACTGTTTGGCTGCTGCCAAGGAGGAGCAGTTGGAGTCTTTACCTCAACACATTGCTTGTGCAAATTAAGAAGCAGCATAAACAGGGAGGTGGCAGTTAAATGTGTTTTATCTGCTGGGACAGAGTCCCACCAAATGGAGTGGGAGCCACGTGGGAACGGGGTGATAAATGCTTGGTCCTTTGGCCATCTGGCAACTCCTGCCGAGGGACTCAGCCTGGAATGTGCAACTTGCCAGTTTGGGTTAATAAGGTTGGTGTAATATCAGCCTTAATGCCTGGTTATGGTCCTGCTACCTACTATTTCCTACACCTCCTTCTGGGGTGTGTCTGGACCAAGACAAGCAGCACTGACCACTGTCAGGACTTAGCTGGCTGAAGAGGGATGCTGATGCATGGAGCCTTTGGTCATCTTGAAGCTCCTGAGAGTGGCTCAATGCATTCCTGGGCCTATTTATGTATTTATTTTGCTTTTTGCACCATTTTTCTCTAGTTCACCTACATCCACTTGTCTCTTCCAGGATCCGGAGGTTTCTGTAGCACAGGGAGCAGGGCTCATGGGGAGAAGTCACCAGGCGTTGTGTTACGGGATGTGGGTAGGAGCCGCGGCCAAACCAGTGCAGCTACAGTAGCTCCCTGTCCACCCCGGGAGGAGCGGCTCCTACCTTGATGTAAGGATGTGGGTGTTGCTGGGAAATCAAAGGTCATCCCCTGTTTTAGGAGGTGGAGGCTTGAATGGAGGAAGGAGAAGCTTACTGGCAACACCTGACTCTGCGTTTAATTATCTAATGTGTCAATGCACAAATATCAGCTCTGCCAACCTCAAACATGCAAAAATCCTGAGTCAACCCACTTCCCCTTGTCCCCCAGTGTGGGATTTCCATGCAAAGAGAATACACTGGGGTTCTTGTTTTCTTCTTATATGGAAGCCTTCAGGGGCATGGTTTGCATTTGTCTTTAATCAAAGCAGCTGCCCTGAAGTAACCTGTAGGACCACAGGAGCTGGGCTTGGAGAGCACCTCACAAACTAATCAAAAACTCTGGGTCGGGCCCTGCCAGCTGGGTCGCTGGGATTTTGTGGTTAAATACAGCACCCCAGAACCCCACAGCAACAAGAGGACTGGAGGTAAAGCACTGCGCATGAGTGGAGATGTGACGATGAGAGGATTGGGAAGGGGTGTTCAGTACGGCTCTGAACAACTCGCTGGTACGGCTGCAGCCTCTTCCGCTTCATGGTCTGGCCACTGCTTTCCTGAGGAGGATGGATGAGATAATACCCATGGGTATGATGGCAGGAAGGCATCTGGATTTGGATGTGTTGGGGTTTTTTTTCTAAGCAAGGTTTCCTAGCATTTAGGAATGGCTGGTCCTGGTCAGAAACTTATCTCAAATGACTGGAGGACCCCTTTGATAAATGACCAGCATAAGTTCAGTGCAATGTGCACCAATTCTCTATAGAGATATCACCTTCACAGGGAGCACGTTACATATTTAAATTACATGTCTTGTGTTTTACAGGGACTCCAGACAGATGAGTCTTAGATGAGAGGTTATAGCGTATGTGATGCCCCATGGCCCGAGTGGCAGAGGGACTTGGGTTTGTCCCGGGGTGTTGTCATGGACGCTGAGGGTTTCCAGCCATACTCCGCTGTGGGGATTTCTCTTATGAGTTTTTTGTAAGCATGACTTTATTTTTGCGTTTCCTTTTGTAGGATTGGCGAAATTCCATTTTTGCTCACAACGGTGTTATCTGATGTGGCTCCGCTGCAGTTAACATTTGCTCTTTGGGACTTTTAAAATAAGTATTGCATTACTTTATCCCCCAGCCCCTCAACATATCCATCTGTATTAGCACCTCCAGACTGGTTTAACAACGTGTTTTATCTGCAAATGCCAGTTTAGTTTGAATTTTACAGCTGACTTTGCTAAGCCACATTGCTGGTGATTTTGGAAAGAGCCTTGAGCAGTTTGAATGAGAGGGAGCCTGTCTTTGTGCTCACTGCTTTTATGGTTCTGCTCTGTGTTAACCTGTCTGCACTTGGTCTGCGAGCCTCTTTGTTTCCCTGCGCCCTTTCATTGTGGGATTGCTCGTAATGCTGACGGATCAATAGGGCCTTTGTACCCTTCCACCTTCCCCAGGTGCTCCCCTTTATTTAATGCCAGCTAAAATGTTTTAAACAAAGCACAGAGGCTCAGCCCACTTGTACTGGTTGGGTAGGTGCTATGAATTAGTTGGCAGGTTTTAATCCAGTAAAGCCTAGTTAACACTGTCCTTGTGCAGTAAGCTGATTATGATAAATAGGCATGCTGTGTCTTAGCAGATGCCTGAAATCAGATCAACCAAATGCAGTTAGACTGGCCAGGCGACTTTTTTTTTTTCTTTCTTTCCTTCCTTCCTCCCCCCGCCCCCCAGCTTTTTAACTCGCCCAGTGGTAACACTGCCTTGGCTTTGCAGAAAGGTCTGCTTAGGATGCAGTGATGGCAACTGGCTGCTGTCCACCCGCCGAGGTCACCGAGATTAGAGGAGCTTCTGGAGGAATGCTGCGAGCTCACGTGAACCCTTGGCCGCTGCTGGCTCCCTCACCCTTCGGCAGCAGGGGCTGTGCACCCCTGGCCGGGAGCGGGCTGGGGGACAGTGGAGAGGTGCGTGAAACCAGGAGGAGGTAGCTTCATTCCTGCCGCCCCCATCGGCAATATGGCCTCCACCCCTGCAGATGAGATGGCACAAGTGGGGTGCTTTGCCTTCCATCCTCCCTGTTTTGCAATTGTAGGGAAGCCTCTGGCTTCCTAGAAAGCAAAATGTCCTGGTGCAACGAGGGTCACACGTTTGGGTTTCACCACCAGCGCTGGGAATGTCCGTGCGCTGCTGCCCCGCTGCGCAGGGGACACGTCGGGACACAAAAAGCTGCCTCCATGAACAGGGAGACTCAGCAGGGTTTGGGAGTCCAGGGCTGGAGGGGGACCTCCAAACCCAGCAAGGAGCTCTCTGGTTTGGGGTGTCCTGTCCCCCCTGGCCTTAACAGCTCATTGGTGTGAGAGTATTTTCCACAGTTCTCCAGGGATGATCCCAGACACCCCAGGTCTGCGGGAAAGGTTTTCAGTCCCCTGAGTAAGTATTTCAGCATTTCATGTCTGAATACCGGCTCTGTTGAGCGGTACGGAGAATAAAGCTCCCATTTAGGATATTGCTGCTGCCTAAGAGGCTTTAGGGATTGTTAAAACTCTTGTCTCTCAGGAAATAGTCTGGCTTCATCTGTTGCCAATTAGAGCCATGGGGCAGCACGGAGGCCCGGGGTGAGTGTTTGCAGTTCGCCGACCTCTCTGCCCACCTTCGGGGGCGTGGGGGTAGCGCAGGAGCACAGAAAGGGGAGAAACCCCCATGGCAAGGAGAAGCTGCCAAAGCCCACCAGCAGCCATGGAGCGATCAGGATGTGGAGGAAGGACCGGGCATCATTCAGCTCAGCAACAGCCTGAATTAGGGCTTCCCATGCATGCATGGATGGGGGCTGAAACATCATCCTACTTTTTAGATCTCTTTGCCTCAGGGGTGTTAAAATAGCCTTGAAATAGGAAACAGGACATGGGCTGGCCAGCGGGAGAAAGCAGACTGTGTCCCTCCTGTGGTGCCCAGTCTGCGGGGGGTCTGCCCCCACGTGCTCCCTCTGTCAGCGCCCCGAAGAACGGGGCCCCTGGGGTAGTTTGGCCATAAATGAGACCAACTCGTGTCTGGGTTTTGGGCTGCCGGCAGCTCTGCGGTGAGAGGGTGGCCATAACCTCTCAGCGTGGAAAAGCGCCGAGGACTCGCCAAACAGGAAATGTATAATAAATTCAATCTTCTGCCAGTCTCCAGGGGAAACCTCCTCTGAAGTGGTTGTAATCCTGCTCTGGGTTATTGCACAGCACGCTGCTGGCTCTGCTCCTGCTGAGGGTGAGGAGGGAGCCGGGCGGCCGCGTGCTGCAGGGCTGGATGTGCAACTGCAGGACGGCTCCCGGAGCTGGAGATGTGTGGAAAGTAGAGTATCTTCAAGTGGTGGGAAGGGTTTGGTGGAGAACCGCCACTTCACGTCACCCGTCCACCCTGCCCAGGCACCCTGGCATCATGTGTGCATGGAGGGACGGCGTGAGGTGCCCCTCCAAGCCCTGCACTCAGCATGTCGAGAGCTGCAGCTGTGGGTTCGCTTCCTCCCACTGTAGAACAAACGGTGGGGTTCGGTTTCCGGAGCCTTTCACTACCCGAACCCTCCAGTGTTTACATGGCGCTGACTTAAATTAGCGTTCAGCTCTCCCGGAGTGCCTCTTAGTGGGTTATGAGTTTGTAGAGCCAACTGCCTGGAAACCAGGTACCCCCTGGAGCTTGTTGACTTTGCTTTGTTGTTCATTTTGGATGCCAAGTCTGAAAGGCAACCCGTGCCTTTGTACTTATTTCCAGCTTCTGTTGACCTACCACATTCTTCCAGCTCCAAGAGCCTGTTTTTCATTCATATCAATGTGCCAGTCTCCAGGTGACAGACTTGTCCCCTGGCAGGCTGCCCTGCGCTCTGCCAAGGCAGCCCTTCCTCTGCAGCCGCTCGTCTGCCCTGTTATATCTGCTTTCAGGGTTAAGTCCCCGGTTCACCTCCCCTGGGTCCTATTCGGCTAGTAAGTGTTAACTCGTCCGTGGTTTCACTCTCCTGATTTCATTCTTTACAAAATCAGGGCACGCGGAAGGCTAGCCCACCCAGGAGATGGGCAGGCCACCCTTACTGGTCCAAGTGCTGCCCTGGAGAGCTATCAGTGCGATGCAAAGGGGCTCAAAACATCACATTTCTGCACACAGCTTTGTGAAGAAATGCTTCTTGGAGGGACATGGCTTTTATGGCGTACCATCTGCCCTGTCCTCTGTGCTTTACTGAGGAGGGGGAAAAACAGGGAGAGATCCTACAGGTCAGGGAAGGTCCTGAGGTGTCAAAGAGATGGATGTGCATTAAACTGTGTAGTGCCGGAGCTATGCTGTCAAGTCGCAGAATAGTCTTGATG